AGATGAAATTTGTTTCACACCTCATCTGCAAATATTGAACACTGCCCAAACAGATTACAAAGCTAGACACGATAGAGTGGCAAAATTAGTTCACTGGTCATTATGCAAAAAATATAACTTGCATATAAAAATATAACTTTGATGTTCCAAAATCCCATGGGAACATCAGGTAGTGAAGATGTCAGAAAATGAGGACGTCAAAATCTTTTGGGATTTCTGGATCCAAAGCAATAGACACCTTGAACATCACACACTGGACATAGTAATAGAATGAAGAAATGTCTGGATAACTGACATTGCAATTCCAGAATATGCCAGAGTTGAAAATAAAGAATTGGAAAAAGTAACAAAATACAGAGACCTGGCAATCGCAACATCTCACTTGTGGATGAAACACACTTCAGTGGTCTCTGTAGTCATTGGGGCTTTGGGAATAATATGAAGAAGTTTCATACAGTATTATAAGCAGTTGTAGATCTCAGAAATAATACCATCAGAGCTACAAGAATGGCAATATTCAGAACAGCATACACACTGCACCAGATAGGTTTTTGATTAAATTTATACCTGTTATATAATACCAGTCAATGTTTTTATAATTTTGATTGACTGTGCCTGGTGTTTCTGAATAATAATAGCATTAACAAAGGACCTAGAAAACCATCTTTGTAATCTAGGGGTAAATGAAATCATAATACATCAACTGCAACAGGCTGTCTTACTTACAGCAGCACATATTGTAAAGAAATACCTATGAATATCCTAGATCCTTGGGAATGAACTGATATTCAAAGAATTAAAGTCAATATTTGGTGAGCAGTGGATGATGATGACAATATCTGAACTGCAGACTGTTACAGAAAGGGCATGGAGAATGCAGAGAGAGCAAAAGTAGGGTTGTGTCTAAATTTATCATTACCATCCTCATCTTCAGAGCCACATAGAAACACAGTCTTTTGAAACCACCAAGTTATATGTGCATCCACAATGCACCCATATCTTCAGAACCACATAGAAACACAGTTTTTTGAAACCACCAACAAGTTATATGTGCATCCACAATGCACCCATGTGTACATGCACCATATCTCTTAATCTGCCCTTCTCAGAAGAAGTGAGAAGTGGTGTAGTACAAAAATGCAGCTTATACAAGCTTTCTCTCCAGTAAGAAAGGCAGGAGTTCCCAGGAAGGAGAGCAAGTTCTGAGACCACCTGAACAATCCTAACCTGCAAAACCCACCTTACGGCTAATGTGCACAGTCTAGATTCAATGAGTGGATGAGACTGGTGTCTGGCCTCTCTCGTCCATTCATACCTATAGACCACACACTCAGTTGCCAGCAAATTGCAACAAAGGTGAAGAAAATAAAGAGAGAGGAGGCCAAGGCTTCATTCTCTCCACCACACTGAAAGAACAAGAAGAGAAGGGGTCAAAGGAAAAGGAGGAGATAAAAATGAAGACATTTGATGCCCTGGGTGAAGAAAGAAGGTTAGACCATAAGAATGGGACAGACCAGGAAGTGAGAGCAGAAAGCAACACCGGTAGAGGGCTATGGGGTGTGTGTGCAGGGGAGCCTGACCAAGTTGGGAAGAAGATGGGATGATCACTAGAGCTCCTTGAGGGTTCAGAGTAGGTGCTCTGGGTGGATCCCTGGCCTGGGGAAGATTTACAGTTAATGTTCCCAGCTGCAGAGGCATCACCAACCCCCTTGCAAGGTGTCCTTCTGGAGAGAGGGGGACAGCTGAGAGACAGGATGAAACCAAAGAGCTAGGAGGCAGGTGGGCAGAGGGAAGCCGACTGTATTGAGACCCCCCACACACACCTCTGTCAGAGGCAAGAAAACAACAGGCATCCTAGAGAGGAGCTATCCAACTTGGGGAAGCCAGAGTTGAGGGCTTTGGAGAGAAGTGGGCTCAACACCGATGTCATGGATCTCAGACCCCTCCAGCTATGGAACTGATGGCAGAGGCCCATGGGGGGGGGGAATTATCCCTGCTGAGCCCTAATGACTGGGAAATCAAAAAGACTCTTGTTGTTTGCTGACCACCCTGAAGGGTTGGAGTTCGAACCAAACCATTTGGAGTTAAGACACCTGTTGGTCGAAATAAAGAAGTTCTGTTCAAAGACGAGAAGGACACTGATCCTTACTCTGGAACTGGGCTTGGTGGCTGTAGGGAAGGATGAACCCATCCACATAGCCAAACTTTCTTCTTCCTTCAAAAATTAAGTCCAGGGAATCTAATACAGATTGGGGCTTGGCATTATATGCCATCAAGACGTATCCAACTCATGGCAGCCCTATGAATGTATGACCTCAAGAATGTTCTATTGCCAACAGCCCTGCTCAGTTGCTGCAAATTCAAGGTAGTGGCTTCCTTCCTTGAGTCAATCTATTTCTTGTTGCGTCTTCTTCTTTTCCTGTTGCCTTCAACTTTCCCTGGCATAGCTGAATCCGTGTGGAACTTAACAAAGTTGTACACCCCATTAAGTAGTTTTAAGTTTCATTTGTTTCAGCAGATCCCACAGTATTTGATAATGTAATCACAGCCTTAGTCTCAAGAAGTGTCATTTTTGTAAGCTACTCAATTTTGAATCTCGTAACAGTGGAACCTAGGTTTTGCTCATTTTTTGCCTCATCTTAACTAAAGGGACACAGTAGTTATCACACTGACCTGTTTTCTTTTGCAGGTGGAGCTATGTAGGCTTTCATGCGCTGTGTATCCTGTCTCCCATGTTTTATTATATAACAACCTCCATCAATGAAACACCTTTATCACTCACAAACTATACATAACTACAACAGACTAGCAAAAATGTTTTATGAAAATCAGTTCCAAAGACCTTCTTCTAAAAAGAATGTAAGAACTTAGACTTTCAACCATCTATGTTTGCATTAATTCTGTTAGACTTAACATCTGGTTGTGGAAAAAAAAGTTGGTTATGAATGTACAGGCTATGAATGTACATTGAAATCACCTCAGAGAAGCCTTTGTAAAACAAGGGGAAGCCTCTGCTGAAATGGTGTATATAAATGTCATCTTTCTTTCTTTCTTTGTATCAGAACATTGCACAATTTAAAATTACGGACGTACATGAAATATAGGTAAAATTAAAAACAAATTTAAATAATTAGATGATTTTTTTTTACCAGAAGTGGGTTACTTCAATAGTGTTACCTCAGCCATTTGCTAGATCTTCTTTAGTACACACAGTGGGGCATAAATTGCATAAACATAAGTGTTGCGTTGATTGAAATTCTCCTCAGTCAAGGAAAAATTATCCTGTATCCAAGCAGCCTCATTTTATTTGATTACTTTTTGGTCTTCCTACTTCACTTTTAAATCCATTAAGTGACTTCCAGATGGCCCAACTAGAGTCTTGTTCTGATGGGTATATGGCTATAATCGCCATGGGTACAAATTACAGCCTATGGCTGTAAATGCCATAGCAGCAAGCACATGGTAATAATTAGAGTAATTATAATTGATAAATGATCAAGAGCTGAACTTTTCATCAGACACAGAGAAATGGCTTGCTTAATCTCTACCACCACCTTCTCCAAGATGGACACAGTTCTAGTGCTAGAACCCACCAGGTTAGTAAAATAGTAAAGCAGAGTGGTGGAAGTAGTAAAATAACTTTCTAATTAGTTCCCTGCAAATGTCTTTACTACCTCTTAGGGTTAAAAAGCAAACGAGGTTGGAAGGACAGTCCCCTCGTTATGATACGTTTCAGCCTATGATAGTTCCTGTCACACATTACTTCTGTATATACGTATTAAAAGTCATTAAATGCCCTTAAGCAAGTTACCTATTAATTACTGAAATTTCTTTCTGACTAATCATGCAACCTTCTTGTTACAGGAAGTTTCTGCTTCCTCTCAAACTATAGCAGGTGCTAGCAGGGTGGGTAAGCAGAAGCAAGATCAGCAAGGGAAGACTCAAGGGGAATCCTAATGGGCCATTTGTTCTAGATAATTTTTATCGCCTTCTGTCACTTGGTGCAGAAGAGTGCAGGGTTGACTGGGATTTGCATCCAAATTACTTGTTTAAAATGGTTTCAAATCCACTTCTGTTCTCTTTATAAAACCTCATGAAAATCTCCAGGATCTTTCAAAATGTTAAAGAAATCCTGAAGGTTTTCCTAGAGTCATGAAACCATTCTGATAACATGTATTCTTGGGCTTTCATGGCCAGGATCTGATGGTTGTTGTTGGTTTTTCGGGCTCTTTGGCTGTGTTCTGAATGTTGTTCTTCCTAACGTTTCGCCAGTCTCTGTGGCCGGCATCTTCAGAGGACAGGTGTCAAAACTCTGTCTGTCCTCTGGTGCAGTTTGTTTGGATAGTTGAGAATTTATAGCTGTGGGGCCCGCTTTTGTCCTTTTCAGGAGATGGGTGATTGTGGTGATCAGCATGTGTTTTTTTGTTGTGGGTGTATTGTTGTGATAAGGGGGAGAGATTATCTGTCACTGCAACTGATGGGTGTCGTTAGCTGATCTTTTGTGTGCAGTGATCACTGGTCCTTGTGGCTGGGTAGAGTTCATTGACCTTTTGCAGGCTGTATTTTTCAGTGCTGGGAGCCAGGCTTTGTTGAGTATTAAACTTTCTTCTTTTTTGTTGAAGCTCTGCTGGTGTTTGTGGATTTCAATGGCTTCCTTGTGCAGTCTAACATAATGATTGCTGGTGTTGTCCAGTGGCCAGGTATATATTGGAACCACAAAATGCAGCATCCACACCAGAATCAAAGAACATAAGAGACACTGCAGACTAAAACAACCCGAAAAATCGGCAGTAGCTGAACATGCCCTAAAACAAGCTGAACGTGGAATTCTATTTCAAAACACAGAAGTACTGATCTTACTGGAACTCCTCCCTTACTCCTCTAAAACCCTATCAGACATGTTAGCCTCAGGGAAGTGTTCTAGTACAAGCGAGCAACAAACCCCACAAGCTCTCCTTGCTGTGCACTGGCTGACCAACAACAACTGTAATGGGATTTACCTTGAGCAGTTCCCGGGGGAAATCGCTCCCTTCATTTAGTCCTTCAAGGTTCAGAATAAAATCCGAGCAGGACATTCGCTTTCCAATGTTCTACAAGAAGAAATGAGGGAAAGAGCAAGAACAACACAGTCAAGAGAACGACCGGATTAATCAGATGAGGTTTATCAGATCTGAATCACTTGTCAAAAATACAGTAATGGGCTCTGACTGATGCTAGACTATTTCTTTAAAGGCTTAGACAACTTAATGGAGGACAGAGGTCTATCCATGGTTATTAGCCATGACAGCTTAATGGAACCTTTCCCAGAGGCAGTAAGTAAACTTGACTTTTGAATAACAGATACCGGGACCTATTGTTCATCATCACAGTCTGCCTGTGAGCCTTTCAAAGACTTCTGGCTGGCTCCTGTTGCAGGTCACTAACCTATACTATACTAGAGGTTGATACAGATGAACATACATAGTTTTAAAGAGGAATTTACCACAGAAGTACATTGGATGTTTTGAGGACACATACCTTATTTTCTTTCAGACCAGTTTCAAAGAAACTTGTAAATTCTCATTCTCAGCAGAAAATGACCTCCTGAACTATTGATTACCTGGGCCTTGGGCCATTCGTGAAGCTACTCGCTTTCTCTTTGGAAAAGTTTAACTTTTTTAAAATAGATAAATGCTGCAGATCTTTATTTTTGTATTTGCAAGTTTTTTTCTTCACCATCCGTTTCTCTCTTTACTATCCTTTAGTTCTGACGCATTTTACCACACTTTCTTCCCAGTCACTTGCTTTTTTCTATCACCATTTATTTTCATTTGGTCTCCTTTCCTCCATCTTTAATGACCGCCCCCTCTATTTAATTTCCCTTTAATCTTATGACATATGATATGGGGAAATGTACCATATACTGTACTGCATTCTGGAATGCTCTACAGAGTTAAATCTCTCTTTTCATTTGTAGTATCAATGCATAACACTAATATAGAAAGAATAACCTGTCTTTCCCTTTCCAAATTCAGAATCAGGATGTATTTCAGCAAATTTAATAATTCTACTTCCCAGCAAGACCAACCATGGGCTTATTAAAATTGGCATCATTCCTCTGATTTACCAGGGGGAACTTGCCACTGTTTCTGGCCAGCAGGGAATTTTAAAGGAGGCTTGTGACAGAAGAATAGTCATATTTTGCACACAGGAAGAAAAGGTGGGACACTGCATTATGTTGCGCACCAGGTAAGTGCAGAGTTTCCTGGCTTAGATTTTCTGCCTAGCTCTCTTGACATATTGTCAGTAATAGGCTTGAAGAGAGCCTAGCTAAGAAGGAGGAGGATCAGGCACTTACATGTCCATGAAGATCTGTGTTTAAGAGCATCAAGGCACAGGTTAGAGTGTGGGCTCCATCTGCAGCACAAGTACCAAAGAGAAACTATTAGACTGTAGTCTAGCTACACTTCATTTATCGATCACTGGACAGACACTTCCATCATGTGGACCACATCTCAGAGAAAAGTGTCATCTAATCAGCTTTTTAAAAAAACATTGTGATCATTTTCACAGCCATTTAAATTGATATTTAGAAGATACGTTGCATGAACTTTTATACATCACAGTTTATTCTCAAGAGTCTTATATGTAGACATTACCCATTGAGATTTGCAACAACAATAGAAGAACTGAATCCTTCCTTGAATTTTCATCAGTATGAATGATAAAGTTAGCAACTGCCTTCTAGAAATTTGCAGAACTCCCCAAAGAAGGTGCCTATTTAAAGATACTTAGTATAATATTAATCATGTGCCGTCAAGTCAATTCTGATTTATGGTGACCCTTTTCAGGGTTTTCTAGGCAGAGAGTACTCAGAAGTGGTTTATCATTCCCTTCCTCTGGGGGTACCTCAAACTGTGCAGCTTGCCAAAAGCCACACAGGTCGTCTTTACTCACAGAAGGCACAGTGGGGAATCAAACTCCCAACCTCTGGCTCCACAGCCAGATATCTAAACCATTGGGCTATCCAGCCATCTTTAAGGTATTTGTGTATCTTGATATTTATGATACTTAACTCACACTAGTTATCATTTTTGTCCTTTTTAAAAACATTTCAAAGCTGTAATTCTGGCTATTTTCATAGCAGTTTTACTTCATGCAAATTAAACTTGGTATTAGTTTGTCAATGAATCACTGCTTTTGCTTTGTATTGTGCAGTGTATGTATGCACATGTGTGTAAGAGAACATATTTGTGAGGAACAGTTGGCCCCACAGACATTTACATATTGAGAACAGAACCAACAGAATCTCATCCTTCTCACCCCAAATATCACCCACCCTTTGCCTCTTGCTTTTACAGTATCTCACCCTCAGAAGAGATGGCTTTGGGATTGCACTCATAATAGCGCTGTGAAAAATGTGCCAAGACTCTCTCCCGCTCCTGAGTCTCACCCATGAGGGCCAGCTCTTTCAAAAAGGACCTGGACAGATAAGGAAGAAATGGTTATTCTTCAGCCGAAAATGCATTGTCCCATTTTACGCTGCTCTTGAGAAGAGCATCATATCCTGAGAAGAACACTTCTTTTCTTGGGTATAAAATTTGTTGCTCAGTCCCCTCTATATATTAATATGAACCCCCTGCATTGCTGAACTGTGTAGGGATGTTAGATTGTCCTGGGACAAGAAGGCACCTCTGCATTACCACTGGCAACAGAATCCTATCAGTCCCCCAAGCATTTGGTGGGCCAAGAAATTCTGCATATCAGTCCAGCTGACTGTGCTGGGCCTAGTGGGTGTCAAGTGGTCTCGGCCAGAAGTTGCAGGCCCATTCTGCCTCATTCCTCACATAGTTGAGATCACTATTTAGCAAGCACAGAAAAGAGAAAGAATGTAAAGAAGCACAGGAGGAAAAGGGTAGCCATTCAATAATAATAGAGCAGTTTCTAGGTTATGTCATCAAAGGGCTAAAATCTGAATGCTCACTTCAAAATGTGGTGACAGCAGCAGCAATAAATAATTAATGTTGTTTCAGAAATTGTTGCCTTGTTTGTGAGGACAGGAATCACCACAATATATTCACTTCACTATCATTGCAAGATTGGGTCCCTTCCAGTTCTAAAATGTATTATTATTATTCAAAAACAATAGGCACAGTCAATCAAAATTATAGAAACATTGACTGGTATTATATAACAGATGATGATGATGATGATGATGCTGATGATGATGATGATGATGATGAAGAATCAAAAACACCAGGCAAAGTCAATCAAAATTATAAAAACACTGACTGGTATTATATAACAGATACATGTTTTAACCAAAAACCTAAGTATTATTATTACTCATTATTCTTTTGAATTGTTTTTAACTGTTCTTAACTGTTTTAGTTTACAACGTTTAATGGAACCCGCCCAGAGTAGACTTTGTCTAAAAGGGCAGGATAGAACTCAAATAAAT